GGAACTCTACTCAATAATCTGTGGTGACCTAAATGGGAAGGAAATCTTTAAAAGAGTGGATATATGTATACGTATAGCTGATTCACTTTGCTGTACAGCAGAAACTAACACAACATTGTAAAGCAACTATACTCCAATAAAAATTAATTAAAAAATAAATATAAAAATTAAAGAAATAATACTTGAACTCTCAAAAAAATGAAATAAAATTTATGTGGAAAGACAGAGAAACCAGAATAGCTAAAAACAATTCTCAAAAAGGACAACAAAAAACAGGGGCCAATTCACACTGTCTGATTTTAGGACTTATTATAAAGCTATATATATATTTTTTAATTTAATTTAATTAATTTATTTATTTTTTGCGGTATGCGGGCCTCTCACCGTCGTGGCCTCTCCCGTTGCGGAGCACAGGCTCCGGACGCGCAGGCTCAGCGGCCATGGCTCACGGGCCCAGCCGCTCCGCGGCACGTGGGATCTTCCCGGACCGGGGCACGAACCCGTGTCCCCTGCATCGGCAGGCGGCCTCTCAACCACTGCGCCACCAGGGAAGCCCATAAAGCTATATTAATTAAGACAGTGAGTGACTTATTTGTGAAAGGTCAGACACACAATCTATGCACCAGGACAGAGAGTCCAGAAACAGACACAAAAATGTGGCCAACTGATTTTTTACAAAGGTGTAAAGGCAATTCAGCGGAGAAAGGATCAATTTTCAAATGGATGGTTCTGAAAGAACTGGACTTCATATGCAAAAAAAAAAACTCTTGACCTATGCCTCCCACCTTACACCAAGTTAACTAAAAATGGATCACAGACTTCAGTGTAAAACTTAAAACTGAATGTAAGAGTATAAAACACTGGACTCAAACATAAAAGAAAAATCTTTGTAACCTTAGAGTAGGTAAAGAGTTGTTGCATGTGACATCAAAATCATGACTTATTAAAAAAAATGGATAGATTGGACTTTGTCAAAGTTAAATACTTTCACTCTCTGCAAGGCCTTGTCAAGAGAATGAAAAGACAAGCCAGGTTGGGAGCAATTACTACAGAACCTACATACAACAGAACCTACATACAATGAGGACACTTGTCCAGAACATTTATATGAGCTCTAAACTCAACAGTAAGAAAGCAAACAACCTGATTTTTTTTTTCTTTCTTTTTTCTTTTTTTTTTAGTGGACGAAGACCTGAACAGACAGTTTACAAGGAGGATCTATGGATGGCAAAAAGACACATGAAAAGATGCTCAGAATCATTCGTCATGAGGGAAATGCAAACTAAAACCATAGTGAGAGTCCAGCTATTAAAACTGCTTTGTAATACTGTGCAAACCAGGGACTTGCAGCAGCTAGAACTCCCGTTCCCTGCTGGCAGGGACGCATCAGCACAGCTACCTTGGAAAGCAGAGTGGCAATTTCTTACAAACTTAAGCACACACATATGTAGGTATCATCCAAACAAAAGGAAAACCTATGTTCAGAGAAAAACCTGTGTGTGAAAGTTTATCACAGCTTTACTCATAGTCAGCACATCCTGGAAACAACCCCGATGGCCTCAGCAGTTGGGTGGGCAAGCGCTCTGAGACGCCCACAACATGGGTAATGGACACTCAGGTGGAGGACGTAGCAGCGGAGCCTGGGGGCGGGTGTGACTGCAAAGGGACAGCAGGAGGGAAACCTGGGGGTGGAGGAATTGCTCAGTGTTGCTCACCCTATATTCCCCAAAAGAACTCAATCAGGAAATGTCCCGTGCAGCACAGGATACCCTAACTCCAGCCAGGGTCAAGTGATCAGAGTGTCTTCCAGCCGGACAGGCCTGAACTCATGGCTCCTGCGGGCACGTTGTCCCGTCCCCACTGAACTAGACGGCCCTGCAGCCCAGCTTGGATGGAGGATGAGCCCCGGGCGTGGCACTGACTACACACCCAAGGTCGGTGCTTCCAGAACCACATCTGCCCTCATCCCCCACTCCCACGCCTCCTCCACCCCTCCCAGTGCCTGTACCAAGGTGCTTACTGGCGGCAGCTCTGCTGGGTCCTGGCTTCCCCGAGGGAGCCTCCAAACATGGACCAAGAGACTGGGCGTCCAGTCCCACCCCAACGGGGACCCTGGACAAGCGCCTAACGGCTCTAATTCTTGGTTGTTTCATGTTAAAATCACAGATGTTAGACCACAGTCACTCTTAATGTCTGTGTCAGCTCGAAATCTTATAGGAATCGATGACAGTTTATCTTCAAGAGACTGGAGATTGGAAATAAAACCTAGGATTATTGCTTGGTCTGCTTATTTTGCCCTGTTTGGGAATATTTTTAACTTGAAAATTAGTCTCTAATCCCAAAGTTTGAGAATCACTGCTCTGGCAGTGCTGTGAAGGGCCCTCGTCATATAACCAACCCTGATTCCAATCAAAGGGAGCTTCCAGAAACATCCTGTGGCTACAGAGAACGTTGGATATGAAGGTGGCCACTTCAGGAACTGCTGGACCTCATTCTCCAAAATGGAGCAGGCGGTTGGGCACCCTTCTGGCCTGGCCAGGGAGCCCAGTGGGCAGGGTGTGCACCAGGGCAGGTTGTGGTGCCCAGAGCAGATGGGCAGCAGACCCAGACCCCTCAGCCACAGGACCTCTTCTTGAGAAAGTCCACCCGGCAGGTAGCTCCCCAGACTTCCCCAGGCCAGACACAGGACGCACTGCATCCCCTGGCCCCAGGCCCCCGGGAGCTTGTGGGGACCTGGGATCAGGCCTGGTCATCACATCTTGGGCTTCAGCCTCAGCCAGGACGCAGGGCGGCCGTCCACGTCCTGAGGCCCCAGAGAAGACTCAGTAGGCCAGGCTTCGAGGCACACCCACGAGCAGAAAGGCCCGAGGTGCCCCCGGCCCGCCCCACGCCCCCCACCCCGAAGGCAAGAGAGCCTTCGGTGCCGCAGCTCTGCACGCCCTGGAGAAGCAGGAAGAGTGTGGCGCTGGGCACAGAGGTGAGGACAGTGCCCTGAGCACTAACCGGGAGACCGGGCTGTGCGCATTGGCTTCTGTATTTATAGCTCAGAACAAAAGTTTAAAAAAGATTTTATGGCTAAGATGTCATTTTAATTTTGAACATGAATAAGAAAAAGAGCAATGCCAGCTATCTTTTGCCAAGAATAAAATTCAAACTGGCAGGACATTTTTCAGCTCCATGATCACTAGCACTGACAGAAAAAAAAACAGTTGCAAAGGAAAAATAACAATATTTCAGATTTGCTCCCTGAAAACCTGATGAATAATGAATACGGGAACACCTCCTCTCCCGAAAGCACGACGTCTCCAAAAGCGCGCTGCTCTTAGGCCCACACTCTGCTCCCCACGGGCTCCAGGGGTGGGAGGTCCCGGGCTCCTCACACAGGAGACTCAAACGTGAACCCCGCTGCCTGCAAGAACGTCAGTCCTTGCCTGTTCTTATCTCTTTAGAAAGCAAAAGGTCCCTAAGCTCATAGATCCTCAAAGCACATCCAGACCCCTCAGCAGGGGCCGAGAGCTTGGGGAGCCGTGGGGCGGGGCCGGAGGGGGCGCCATGGCCGGGCAGATGCGAGAGCAGAGGGCTGGACGCAGTGACCGCACGATGAGAAGGTGCAGCGTGAGGAGGGGCACCAGGGCGAGGGGGGTCCGAGGAGACATGGGCTGAACTGGAGGAACCGGTTGGCCACTGCTGACCACAGCTGGAGCCCGGCCACCAGCCCCGCCACCCGTCAGTCCGTCCTCCCTTCCTGGTCGGCGTTTGATGTCTCTAGTAAAAAGCTGGAGTAGCGTGCAGAGAGGCTGCCCGCCTCCGAGGGGCCTGGCTGAGGTGGGACAGAAAGGGCGTCTTGTGGGCTCCCTTCCTCGCGGCGGGTGCTGGGCGGGAGGCGCTGTCGGGGCCACGGGGGAAGTGGGGTGCTGCGGCCGCTGCCGTGCTCAGCCGTGTGTCTCCGTGGGCGGAGCGCAATGTGTCCCCTGTGAGAGGCGCTGGCCCCGGGGGGGCCGGGATGTGAATGGGAGCTGACCGCTGTGATCAGTCCCGTCGTGCTGGCGAGGGCGCTGAGCCCAGAGCGACAGGTGCAGGAGGGGCTCGGCTGACGGAGCAGCCTGGGCTGCAGAGCAGCGCCTGGAGGAAGCCGATGGGCTCCTGCCCGGCGGAACGTCTCCCAGTGTAAGTGGCACCCATCCTGAGCCACGTCTGCCCCTCATCGGGCCAACCTAACAGATGCACCGAACGTCGGGGTGCGGAGGGCATCGAGGACGCCGCTGGCTTTCCGTGGCGGCAGAGCTGCCCACCCAGTGGGGCTCTAGGGCCCGAGGTGGACAGGCAGGGAGACACGTGGGCACGGCCAGGGAAGCACGGCTCCAGGGTCACCTCGGCGGCCGGTTGAGGGGCAGCCTGCCATGGGCTCCTCTCCCCTGGCACCCACACTGTCCTGTGGAGGGACGGCCTGCATCCCCCCAGCCCCTTGGAGGAGGGGCAGACCAGGGCCCGAGTCTCTCTAGCGGAGGCCGCGGCACCCTCGCTCTGTGATTTGATCCAACCCAGGAAGCTCCACCTCCTCTTTTCTCGTTTAAGAAACTGACCCACGAGCAACAGGGTCAGGAAAAGCAGTTCAGAACCAGCCGGCTGGGTCTGTCTCAGTTGAGAAGCCCAGCCCGGGTGTGACGCCCAGCGTGTAGTACCGACAACAGGGCAGCTGGCTCGCCCGCTAGACCTGGGACGCACAACGCACAGTCTTCTGTGCTCACTTTGAGGGGTAAAAAGCCCGCTCAATTTTTCATTAGGTTCTCCTGTTGACAAGTAAAACCAGAAAATGCAGAACAGAAAACGATTTTCAGATTTGAAGCTCATGGGCCTCAGGTCACTGCCTGTGCTGCCCCCAGGGGTACCTGGGGCCACACCCTGCAACCCTTCCTGAGGCTTAACTTCCCAGTGGCTGTAAGCGGTCACAACCGAGGCCCACGGGGACACGGCCGCACGTGACACGGGCGAGGGCTCACCTCCAGCAGCAGCCTTCCCTCCAGCACGGCAGACCCTCCACACGGATCCCTGTCTTCTGGTGAGGGGGCACCGGCCGCCGGCTGCTGCAGGGCTGTCAGAGGAGAGCACAGTTAGTGACGGTTCCCTGACGTCTCTCCAACTTCCACCCACTCTCCACAGGCACGCTGACCTGTAGTCTCCTTGCTGCCCAGAAGACACCCAGGGCGGCGGGCGGGGCAGCTGGGTGGGAGCCGGGTGACATTCGGGGGGCCAGGACTTCACGGCTAGGCCGCACCTGAGGACCCCGCCCCACTCTGCTCCCCAGAAACTGCACTCCCCCTCCCCTCCTGCAAACCCCTTAACGCCCCTCCCCACCTCAGGGACCCCCCGGGGGTCCCCAAAGCTCCCCTCTCAAGACCCAAGCGTGGGCACGTCCCCAAACTGGACACCACTGATCTGGGTAACCAATCACCGGCCGGGACCCCCCACGTGCCCCTCACCCAGAGCGGAGCAGCCAATGCCCCCGGCGGGCGGGCGTCCCCTGCAGGCTCACGCTGCCTCTCCCAACACCCCCCCCGGCCTCACGTCCCCTTGGGGTGAAAAGCTCAGACAGACAGATGTGCAGGTCAGACAGACGTCATCCACATCCCAGCCCCTGGGCAACTCCGTGCTCAGCATCATCGGCACCTGGGAATTATGGGGGCCGCTGGGGGCTGCTGAGGGCACAGGCATTAAAGGGGGTCCCGGCCAGGAGTGGGCCTGGCGCTGATGCCTCTGTGGAGGCCGGGAGGGCTGTGCCTACCGTTTCCCTCATTCAGGGGAAATGTCAATGCCACCAAGGGCCCTGCAGGCGGTCCCCGCCTCGTCTGGTTTTGGGCTAAAATATAACCACAGCATGGGACTCTCCAGCACTTCTCTTTCAAAACCAGCAAGCTGTGCTGAACTTTCCCTCCAGGGCGCATCCACTCCCCCAGGCGCTGGTCAGAAATGCAGGGTCCCAGGCCCCGGGACGGCAGGCCCCCGACGTGCTCTCCAGGTTGGGCCAGGACCACTGTGGACCGAGACCCCTCACACACATACACACACACAGGCAGTGGCCAAGGTGGCCCTTCATTTACAGCCCTGACGCCAGGCTCAGGGCATCCACAGGGGAAAGTGCACGATGCAGAGGCCCTCAGAGAGATCCCTGGACGGTGGCCCTGCCATGGCCTTCAGTCTCCGCCGGCCTCTCCGTCCCTCCCTCTCTCAGAAGCTTCGCTTCATCGCCTTCCTCACCTGCACTAGATAGAACAAGAAACGGACGCATTTCCTCGAGGGAAAGCAGGTGTGTTCTGGGAAACACGACAGGCACACCGGGATGCCTGGGCAGAGGTGCAGACGCCGCCGTGTGTGCCCAGACGCCCAGGCCTCCCTTCCCAACCGAAACCCGCCAGCAGCCAAGCTCCCCTCCAGGCTGCTGGTTCTCTAGGCAGTGAGACAGCTCTGAGCAGAGAAGCCGGAGGCGTTAACTAACGTTTAGTCCATCTTGTGCTCCACTCTGCTCAGAAAGCTGAGAGGTGAATGCGTGAAACTCATAGAGCTCGGATTAGTCGGACCCAGGAGGAGCCCACCGAGAGGCGCCATGTCCGCGCGGGAGCCTCCTGGCGTCAGAATGCCCCGAGCCTCTGACAGAGGGTCACACAGACCCCGTGCTCTGCTCTCAGGGGCTGAGAAAGCTAAAGGAGGGAAACGCCGACCGGCGGGGGCCCGGGTCCCACTCCCACCCCACCCCTCCCCGCAGCCCCCTGGCAGCACAAGGCCACGTCTCCCGGCCGGGTGGGCAGGGCCCAGGCGGGCCTGGGCGGACGTGGGGTCACAGCGGCGGGGCTGGGGGGCAGGACACCGCCTCGGTGCGCCCAGGGGGACTGCCACAGCCCAGACCGCAAGGCCTGCCCGCCACACACGCCGCTGCAGGGGCCGTCCCGGCTCCAGCCAGCTCCCCGCCCCCGAGCGCGCTGGGCTGAGGGGAAGGGGACGCTGGGACGGGGCTTCCCTGCTCGCCGGGCCTGCGGACGCCGAGCCGGCGGTGCTGCCGCCCACGGCCGAGGCTGGGGAGCCCCAGGCGGTGACGTCACCGCGGCGGACGCGGTTCGCCGACCCCCGCCGGGACCCAGCCCCACTCGGCGGCGCACAGACGGATGCGCTCCGTCGCCCACAGGCGCGGCCGCGGCGGGGGTCCCCTCCTAGCCTCCCTCCCCTCCCCCCACGCGGCTCCGCAGCCTCGCGTGCGCCCCCGCCGGGCACCCGCACTTCCCTCCTCCGCAGCCACATTCCGCGGGGCACGCCCGGCGGGGCCTCCTCGGGCTCCTGTCACGCGATGGGGCGTCAGCGCCGCGGTGACAGCCGCCTGGACCCCGGCCAGGGCCTCGCGTGCGAGCAGGGCCGCCAGCGCGCCCCACCCCCAGGCCTGTGGTGAGACTAGAAGAAACCGAATGTGATTCCGAGGCTGTCCCGGAGGCCCAGCCAGGGTGGGGGGCGCCTTCCCGAAAACTCATCTGAGCCGACAGCCCCGGGCCCCAGGTCAGGAGCGCCCGGAAGTTGACTCAGGGCCGCAAACTGCAGTGCGGGCGGGGGCCACGGCCAGGCCCGCAGGCGGCGGGGGGCAGCCCTCTTCCGGGTGGGGGGCGGTCCGGAGGGGGAGCGCCCGCGGCGCCGGCACAGGGAGCAGCTGGGGGAAGAGCCCCGGGGCGGGGCGGCAGCGCCGCCGTCACCTGGCTCTGCTACGCGGCCCAGCGGCACCCTCCTTCTCTCCTCTCCCTGCCACCACACGTCTCACCCGCGGGCCTGAGCGGGGCCCTGGAGGGGAGGCAGGGCTCTGGGCAGGGGCCTCCGCCGGCGGGCCCCGCCCGCCCCATCGCCGGCGCCCCCTCCGCCCGGTCTCCTTCGGGACGAGGGGCGAGCCCGCCGCCACGCCCCGCCCCGCCCCGCCTGCTCCTGGTCGCCCCTGGCAACAGGCCGCGGAGAAACGGCGGCAGGGAGCAGGTGTGTGGGGCGGGGGTCCACGGGGAGTTGGTGAACGCGTGCAGAGAAGGAGTCGCTGTGGCCCCCTAGGCCCCGCGAGGAGGGACGTTTGGGGACGGGGTGTGGGAGCAGTGCCCCGGGGCCCGGAGCTCGAGGCGTCCCCTGCGGTCCAGCCAGGGGCGGAGAGGCCTGTCACGTCGAAGGGCCTCGTGCGCCTGGTGAGCCGCTGTCCCCAGAAAGGGGGCCAAGCCACGAGACGGGACCCCGGCGGCACCCGCGGCCCTTCAGCCCCACCCC